AACAATTTGCTTTAGTTTTATGAAAATAATGCAATAAAATTAATAATAAATAAATTAATAATTCCTTTTGTTTAATTTTGTCTTATAAAAGACAAATTATATCTAAAATATTATAATAAAATAATAATAATAATAATATTATAAGATATTATATTATAATATTATTAAGAACATTTAATCTTTAAAGCAAAATAAAAAATAGATTAGAATAAATAAGCTTATAATGCACATTAATTGTTTTATACATATACAGCAAAAAAATATTTCTCCTTTTAACTAAGGAAAAAATTTGTTTGTATTTTAACAAGTTCAATTAAAATTTTTCAACCAAGCTTTTTTAATAAAAGTTACTGATATAAGTTAAGTTATAATTAACTAACGCATTTTACTTTAAAACCAAATAAAAGTTAAAATGTTTCTAGTAAAATATGAATTTGTTGTCGTTTTCTTATTTATAAATTTTGTTAATATCGATATAACGTTTGCTAAATGTCGTCTAAACGTTCCTGCAATGCAAAATCTTCAACTTAAAAGAGTAATTTCTAAATGTAAATGTATTTTCTGGAGATTCCTAATTACATCTCGTTTAAGATGTCGGGATTATGGTATCCAGTTGAAACAGACGATCCATCCGTAAATGCGAGAAAAGGTTGTGATACGTTCAATGTAACTTATTCAAATTCCGTGGAAAAAGGGGAATCAATAACAGCTTTTCTCACGTCGAATGAAAAAAAATACGAAAGATTTACATTATATTCTGTGAACGGTACGGGTCGATTAAAAATACAAAACAATGGTAACAGGAAAATTGCTGATCTTATTGATGGATGGTTAATATCAAGCGATTATGTTAATTATTCGATGTGGTATGTTTGTAATGAAAACTCAAAAGATCCAGGTACAATATTTTAAAAAGATAACAATTTTTTATATAATAAAAATAATCATATTTCCTTAGGATATAAATATATAGGATTGAGGGAAAGACCACCCAAAATGGATATTGTAAAACAAATTAGCAGTATGTTTATATCATTGGGATTTGATCTTACAGATTTACGTAGTATTAACCAAATTAATTGTTGAATAATTTTAGCAGATTAATAAATAATAAAAAATTCAATTTTAAAGATTAAAATAAAATGTTTAAATTTGAAATAAAAATAACATTAGAATTTATTTCTACCAACACTTCATATGTTTATTTCCGGTTAATAAACCGGACAGTATGAAATAAATTAATATAAAAAAAGCTGTTAATTATTTAACATTGTATTAACATATTTAATTGATGTTACATCAATTTCCAACGTTAAACTTTCTCCCTTACGGAGAGCGAACCCTTCACTTTGAGTTAAACAAATTGAGGCCCAATTTCAATTGTCGAGTTTTGTAAATGATACAAACAAATAAAATGTAGTAATTGCCAATGTTGCGACCGAAATTATATCAGTGGTAAGCGATCTAGTTGATGAAGTACTAGAATCCAAACCTATTAGTTAGAGTAGAGTAGATTCTAACAAAATTTAATTTTCCGTTCTTTCTTAAGTGAAGAAAAGCATTTCTCCTGTCAGATCTCCTGTCGGGCTCTCAAAGAGGCAAACAAAAGCCCTCTGAGTTCTACAGGAGTCTCCTAAACGTAGTCGGCGGATCATAGGTTGTGAGTCAAAATTTATTGTTCGGCTATGGTGGAGGCGGCTTTCATGCACTATTTCTTCATGGGTTATGATCACGTGTCACTAGTGACAAAACCAAGTATAGTTTAGTTGTCACTCACTACGCAGCGAGGTTGTTAACACCGTCGTTGATATAATCTACTAGCTTCCAGAGCGAGACCTATATGCGACCTGGAAGAAAAGCATCATCAATCGCCTTTCTCTCAGCCAAGAAAAACGATTAAATGACCTTCTCTCAAATACGCATATGGGATAACAAAAGCCTTCAGATTTCTACCGAGAACTTTTATTCAACATAGGCAGTTCTCAGGTAGTAAGTTCTGATCTTCTTTTGGAGGACAAGGTTGCCAAACACTATTTCGGTAGCGATGTTGTTTCTATTGAATATGGCGTATAGGATCTGGGAATCAATCACTTAAACGCCAAACATTTACCAACCCAAACACTTAAATTACAACAACTCACTCTACACATAATTCAACAACCTCACAAACAACTATCTGTACTTATGACACTAAATATTTTGATCGTGCCTGCAACTGCCAAGGTAAATGGTGCAAACTTTATCATTCTTTCTCAAATAAACATAATTCTAAAAATCAAAGAAAACGACTAAATGTTTCAATAGAGAATAAACCCAAAATTTCCAATTCAAAGAATTCCAAATTAAATATCAGTGAGTTAAATTCAAGACAAAAAATGAAATTTTTTGTTATCTACATAAGATATCATTCCTTGTAATCATCACACAATGAACCTGGAGTATCTCATCGCTAAATTAAAAGATGCGGAGTTATCCGTACAACTCCTACATTTGAGACGAGAAATGATCAGACGAGAGAAAACCAAAGACCACATCGAATTCTTGCATAAAGCAATACAACATGGAGTGACTCCCACTTCGTTTAAAATAAAGACCACTCAAGGCTTCAAACATCAACAATTCCAACTAGAGAAAAAACTAATGAAAAAAAGACTCCGACAACATTATTCAAAACAAGCTGACCAGGACAGAGTCCTTAAATTTATACACCACCTTTTACAAAACAAATTTCATTACTTGGAACAGGAAAACATCTATACAAAATTTTATAACGAAGTGGAGAGGATCACCTCACGACAAAGCCATCAAACGGAGGAAGATTGAGAACCTTATAAGAAGAGAGGAGCTCCGGACGAAGCAGCACAAGAGACAGGATAGCATCAATAATTTTGTAAGTAACGAACCGGCAGACCACGGCATTTTTCATGTAAAAAGAATTAATACTCAAGACCCTTCCTTTCATCTTAATATTCCCAGTGATAATCCTTTTAAATTTGCCCCCAGATTCACTAACTTAAGTAAATTCAATTTTTCCACTTCTGATATTAAAATACTTAACACCGGACATAAGTTTTCTGTTCCTATCAAGCCAGATTTTGTTGAACTGGCATCTCATTAGAATCACAACATCATCGACACCAGTCTCATAACGTCATTAAAAATAACCATGAGATTCTTTTCCAGCATGCCAACCCCCAAAAAAATAACACCCTTAACCTTAAAAGCGTTCTTGACTTGAAAAAGAAGATTGAGAGCAATGATTTGATTGTTACTCTAGGAGATAAGAATGCTGGACTTGTTATTCTGGAGAAGGAATCTTACCTTACCAAAACGTTTTCATTTTTCCAGCAAAATAATATTTTTCAAATTAATAAAAATCCTACAACCACCTTTAATAACTGTTTGAAAAAGCTTTTAAATCATTGCAGAGAGAGTCTCCTTAAATTTAACATTGATACTAATTATGTAAATCAAATGAATCCCCTCACTCCCACTTTAAAAAGTTTAATTAAACTACATAAAGCAGATCACAGTATACGACCGATTATTAGTAATATTAACACACCCACTGAAAAAATTTCAAAACTTATTCAAAAATTTTTATATAACACTTTCAATAAACATTTTAAATATAACGTCAAAAATTCACTCGATCTAATAGAGAATCTTAAAAATTTACAAATTAATAACAAATCAACACTTATCTCTTTTGTCACTAAGCATCATTGAGACCCACCTCTGCAACAATATCAAACAATTTCCTAATGTTCAATACCAAGATATTTTCAATTTAATTAACGTCATCAGCTTTGTCTGTGAACAAAATTTCTTTATTTTTAACAAGTTCTATCGTATGAAGGATGGTTTACCTATGGGATCCCCCATCTCAGGAATTATTGCTGACATTTTCGTTAATAACTTCGAGGCTGCTCTGTTCTCTGACAAATATATCTTTTCTTCACTAAACACATTAAATTTTACAAAAGATATGTTGATGACATTCTTCTTGTATTCGAAGGAAACAAGGCTCAATTAGTTGCTCTAAACAACATAATTAATAACATTAATAACTTACAGTTTACTAACGAAATAGAAAACAATATGTGCATTAATTTCCTTGATTTGAAAATCACTAGAAGACCGTCCGAGAACAGAGTAGCCTTCGATATTTTCCGTAAGCCTACTACTACCGATTGCATAATTCCTAAAACCTCCTTCACTTGTAAACAACATAAATATGCCTCCTTAAGATTCATGTTTAACAGAGTTCTTAAATACCCTCTCGATCATACAGAGTTTAAACAAGAAATCCAAACAATTGTAGGGGTGGGCCTCAGTAATGGCTATTCCATTGAAGAAATACAGACTCTTTTTTACCGTATACATCAAAATAATATTAACAATCTCATATACCCTAAATTTTCTAAACAACCTCTTTACATTTCCTTACCGTATCAGCCCCACCTACAGAAGGCCCTCTCTGCAAGTTTAAAAGACTTTAATATTACCCCGGTATTTACTGCTGGACATAACCTTGGGCAGATTCTTGCTAACAATAGATATAGGTTTTCGGGTATTCAAAGAAGCGGAATTTATAGATTGAGTTGTGGTGATTGTGATAATTTCTATATAGGCCAAACTGGTCGTGACCAGAGACCAGATACAAAGAACACATTTCTAAATCCTCATCAGCCTTTAAAAAACATCTAACAGATAATAACCATACTTCCAACATAAAACTGCTTAAACAACTAAAAAAATCTAAAAAAAATGGATCTTTATGAGGAGTATTATATTAACTATCACAATAGAAAGACCCCAAACTTAATCATCAATGAAATTACTGAATTTTACAACAACCGTTTATTTCTGAAAATTTAAATTTTGATTTTTACCGCCTCTGCCGGTTCGTTACAATAATCACCCCCACACACACACACCCCTTTCTTTGTAAAACCAACTCTATACCGGTCTTATAAAAATGGCCGTTTAAGTGCGCACTTAATTTTAGGTAACATTTTATAAGTTTTTTTTTTTACTCATTTAATTATTCTTTTTCTTTATTTATTTTTAGATTAATTTTTGTTTCGAAGGCTGTGTATTCGTTTCATCGCCTCACTCATTTGCCTTCAGCCTTTTTTGCATTTCAACACGCCTTCAGCTTTTTCTTGTTGAGTGGGACGATGGAATGATGATTCAGTTTTTGAATCGTTCGAGTTTCCAATCATTTTTGTTAATTTTTGTTACTTTTCGTTTCTCAATCTTTTTCCACATGATGCACAACTATTACGACCCTTTGATCATTGCTCGTTGATTGACGGTAAGAGATAATTATTCCTTAATTTTTATAACACCTGCTAATTTTATTATCACTTTAGTGGTACCTGAAGACGCTCTAATAAAGCGAAACAATTGTTGTACATAATCTCTAATAAATATACATCATTGTGGAAATTTTTTGTTATCTACATAAGATATCATTCCTTATTTTTTCTTGACAAAGTATTAATTGAAAGCACTATTGATATAACTGCGTAGTTATCATGTTGACAATTAATTTATTATATTTGGCTGAATGAGTATACGTGAATCAACAAAAAGCTGAATCAATTCTGCAGGGTCACACCTCAACATATATTTTATCATGTTAATAACTAATTAAATTAATATTATATATTGCATAAATAAATACGGAATGCATGGATAATAGAAGCCTCGTATTCGTACTTGTCGATAAAAATGTCACTTTTTTAGATTGTATGGAATGTTTACATTATTATATCTACGTGCATTAGAAAGTATGTTGACAAAAAGCAAATGAGGAAAAACTCAATTAACTTTAAACATAACGACTTTTTTCTGTTTTAAAGAGACATATAAGAACGGAATTTTTCGCCGTTAAGGTGCATATTAATTTAATTTGTTAGCAGCAACCATGGTTTTAAAGTATACCATATTGCACGTAGTGCTTCTAACACTAGTTCCAGCGTTTATTAAGACAGCAGATAAAAGATGCCACAAGATATCTTTAATAAAAAACTTTGACGTCGAAAGGGTATGTAAACGAAAAAAATCAAATCAAAACTACACTTTCTTTAAACGTTTTAAAATCATGTTATTTTTAAGATAATCGGTTACTGGTACGCTCAAGAGGTGGGCGATAGCGACAGTTTCGAAAGCACAAAAAAATGTTTGTTTTACAATGTCATTTCAAACAAAAAAAAATCGAATGCAACAATAACTATATTGAGAATTTTTAATGTAACGGGTGCTGTTGCTAAAACTGAAATGATAACATCACAGCAAATAAATAATACTTCAGAATTTCTCGCAAAATGGAAACAAGAAGGTGAAATTCGTAGTATTTGGGCAGTTGCGACCGATTATGATACATGGTCGACATGGTATATTTGTCAACCAGAACATGCCGAAAGGGGAATGTTATTTATTACAACGCGAGAACAGAATCCAAACAAAGAAACACTCGAAGCAGCACGAAACGCCGCTAGAAAAGAAGGGTTTAAAATGACAAAACCTTATTTGAAACAAATTGACCATTCACAGTGCTTCAACTAAATTTTTATTAATTAAAAATTTAAAATAAATAAATTCAAGATAAACACAGATTTTTATTATTTAAATCGGTTTTACGAACCACTAACAATAAGCCAGAAAGTAACATTTAGGCTAGGTTTACATGACAAAAATTTTACGCGCGCTTTGATATCAAGGTATTTAAACACTTATTTAAATAAACAAGATTCTGTCGCATGTAATAGCCTACATTCAATTGTTAAGACAAATAAAAGAGATCTCGGATATCTAGATGTCTAATGTCTAATGTTATTGGTGAAATTTACTAAATAAACAGTATTTAAATTTTATTTATTTTCACACTATCCAAAATCTAATAGATTAGTTGAAAAAGCAGCTGGAATAGCTAACAATATAATTCAAAAATCAAAAAATTCCACAGATATTCATATGGGTTTATTAGATTTTAGATGGATACCATTAACAGGGGATTATCTTATAGTCCAAGCAAGATTTTAATGAGTAGAGTGTTGAAAACAAAGTTGCCTTGTACAAAGCAAATTTTAAGCACAAAAGTAATTTATTTAGAAGCATATAAATTGCAAAAAGAAAATAAACATAAAATAAAACAAAAACATAACGTGCATACAAAATAGAAGAAATCATTCAAAGAAGGAGATAATGTTGTAGGTTAGGAAAAAAATACTAATTTGTGGAAGCCAGGACAGATTATGAAAGAGGACGAAAATCCAACATCTTATAAAGTCTTACACCTTGCGATTTATTCTTCGGGGGATATTTAAAATCTAAAGTGTACACAAACCGACCTCAAAATCTTGCCGAATTAAAGCAACGAATAAAAGATGAAGCTGCAACAATTTCTCCCAGATCGCTAAAAAAATTTTTTGTTATGAAAGATTGGGCCGCTGCCTTGCAGTTTAATGGTGAACATTTTGGACATTTATTGCCGTGAAAACCATTTTAGTGCTAATTTTGTTTTATCTTCAAGGTTTCATAAGAGACGTACACTGATAATGAAATACATTTGTTTAATTAATACTATTAATAACATTAATTAACATTAATTTACAATGGCAGATTTTGTTGGCATCAGCTAAGCATCTATTGGACAGATCGTAAATTCTGTGACGTTGGCAATCGTATCGTTAAGGCTACAATATGCTTTTATGCCTGAAAATGAAGAATTGTATAGCGTTAAGTTGCAATTTTATCGCATAGCAAAATTCCCGTATGTCATAGGTGCTATTGACCGTACCCATGTGCGCATTCAGTCTCCAGGTGGCGAAAATGCGGAATTATATCGTAATCGCAAAGGGTTTTTTCGTGGAACGTGCAAACTATTGCTGATGCTAAATTAAAAATTGGCGATATTGTTTGCTCGATGGCCGGGAAGCACTCATGATCAAACAATTTTTAATAATAGTGTTATCAAAAGAAGATTAGAAAATGAGAACTGCTGTTCAACATATTTATTGCCAACCCAAATTCACACGTTTTTCTTTATTTGTTGAAACCATTTCATACAATAATTATTACGTCTGATTGATTATAATCAATGTCAAACAGTCTCTGACTTATTCCTAGTATAAGGTATTTGCGTTGAATTGTACGGTATAGCTATCCTGCGCCGTATACCGTTACTTATGCAATATGCCGGTATTGTAAGACGTTTATTCTAGTGTTTATACCACCAACATTTAGTTATTCTTGGTATACGGAGCGGTATAAACTGTTTTGTAAGATCGGCCCTTAATTTGTTTAAAATAATACTCAGAACTATAGTATTATACTCGATTTTTCAAAAAGTATCACCGTTTTCGATGGCGAAAATTTAACCGTTAGTAAAGTATGGCTAGAAGCTATCGACAGTTCTGCGGCTTTACATAATTGGCCTAAGTCATTCATGTTAGAGACGGCAATGACACATTTAGTGACTGCAGCTGAATTTTGGTATCAATCAAGAAGAGAAAACTTAACGTCATGGGAAAATTTCAAACTAGAATTCACGAATACCTTCTTTCCTGAAAAGAATATAACTGCATTGTGGAAACCTATGCAATCAAGCATGCAGGGAAGCAAAGAAAGTTTAAGTTATTATTTCCATGAAAAACTTGGACTGTGTAAGCAACCCAGCCAGCAAGTATCGAAGAGCAAAAAGAACAAATTATTATTGGCTTGTTTTCTAACGACATTGTCAGTATGTTGATGGCAAAAAATCATATTGACGCAGAATCTCCTACATTTTTCTTTTCTTTAAAGTTAACTTGTGTTTCCCAGTTTCTTGTCAACCGACCTGTTATACAGGGTGATTCATTAGCTCTATGACAAACTTTGGCAAATGAAAAGTGAATCGATTCTAAGGAAAAAATGTTATATGAATATGGGTCCGATTCATTTTGGTTAAAGACTTACAAGCCTTTGAAAATTTTACACAGTTTAATAGGCAAATGAAAATGTAACATAAAAAATAAGTTTAAAAATTACAAAAATTGTTCGAAATGTCCGCCTTCAGCTTGAATGCACGCTTCACATCGACGAAGTAAAGATTCTATCACACGACGTATGATATTTGGATCATTCCGTATGCTATTAGCTGCATCTTGAATTCTGTCCAGTAGTTGCTGACGGGTAGTAATTTCTACATGGTACACAAGCTGCTTCATGTGTCCCCAGAAATAATAATCCAGCGGATTTAGATCTGGGGATCGTGGTGGCCAGACTACTGGACCTCCATTGCCAATCCATTTGTTTGGAAAATGTTCATGTANGCTGGATTATTATTTCTGGGGACACATGAAGCAGCTTGTGTACCATGTAGAAATTACTACCCGTCAGCAACTACTGGACAGAATTCAAGATGTAGCTAATAGCATACGGAATGATCCAAATATCATACGTCGTGTGAAGAATCTTTACTTCGTCGATGTGAGGCGTGCATTCAAGCTGAAGGCGGACATTTCGAACAATTTTTGTAATTTTTAAACTTATTTTTTATGTTACATTTTCATTTGCCTATTAAACTGTGTAAAATTTTCAAAGGCTTGCAACTCTTTAACCAAAATGAATCGGACCCATATTCATATAACATTTTTTCCTTAGAATCGCATCACCTTTCATCTGCCAAAGTTTGTCATAGAGGTAATGAATCACCCTGTATAATATAGTAACATTGTTATTTTTAAGTTAGTATTGTGACAACTTCAGGTTGTTGGTACGTTCCCGGGGAGTAAGAGAAGACGCTCGCATGTCGCTTGTACTTGTACCAAAATTCTAATAGTTATATACTTATAATAAGCTAGAAGACTAACAATATTTGTGTACAGGGTGGGCAAATTTGGGTGTTATTATAGGCTATCTTAGAAACTATAAGAGATAAAAAAAAAGTCGGTGCCATGTCCCGGTCCCTTTTTCCAAGACTAATCCAATCCCGTAAAAACCAAATCTCTATCTTCTTTTGTTTTTAAGTTATAGCCAAAAAGTCAAATTTTAGTGATTTCAAAAAATGCTCATATTTCGTTTATTTTTGAAATTAGAGAAATGGGGTTAATGCATTCTTAAGACACTTTTTTGAGTAGAATATACTGCCGTTGAAAAATTTTTAACATAGCTGATAATTTTTGAGATATAACATAAAGTTGTATTTTTTTAAATACAAACTATACTTTATTATGATATTACTGAAAAGAGCATATTTTTAGCTTTCCAATGATGTATCGCACGCATGATGTTTCTGCGGAAAATAAGCGTTATTTTTCAATTTTTAAAATATTAAAGATTAAAATTCAAATTTTTAATTATAGTAGGCGAGGAAAACGCTAAATACTACTTAGTTACTATAGCAACGTGAGTTTACTTGTCATTTCATTCATGAATTTTGCGAAACGAGTTTCCCGTTTAAGAAGTTCCGCATTATCTTTAAATAAAACGATAAAATTAAATATAGAATATATTGGAGTCCGCTTTGAAGATGATACATAAGTCTTCATATCCCCATTCAAACGGTGTTTCAATGGAAAGTCCGCTCCCAGTTTATGATTCCTAATTTTCCTCTATCTCACCCAATTTCAAAAGAAAAGATTGCTGATATCAAAAAACTTCTACATCTTATGTTTGGGGAAAACTGGGAAAATACTACCGAAGATTTCATTCATTGATACCGAACTGTTCTAATCTTACAACCAGTAAGTTGAGTAGAAGAAGATGACAGTTTATGACTGTTTAGTTCCTGAAGTTGTCCATATTTAATTATTCATTAATTAATACATTTCTTGTATTTTTAATAAACAAACTTTAAATGCTAATCATTTTTTATTGGTGAACAAAGTCAGGGATAAGATGCTGAGAAATTTAAATTAACTATTCAAAGTTTTTATTCGTTGGTACAAAACCAACTTATCCTGAATAATGGTACAAAACCAACTTTATTCTGTCATATTCGTGCAAAACCATATATTATAGCCACTAGGTAGTATTTACTGTCCGGACCCGCCTACTATAATCAAAATTTTGAACATTAGCGCTTACTATTTTCGAATTGAAAATTAACGCTTATTTTCTGCAAATACACCATACATGCGATACATCATTGGAAAGCTAAAAATATGCTCTTTTCTTTAACATCATAATCAAGTATAGTTTGTATTTAAAAAAACACAACTTTGTGTTATATCTCAAAAATCATCAAGTATATTTAAAACTTTTCAACGGCAGTATATTCCACTTAAAAAAGTGTCTTAAGAACGTATCAACCCCATTCCTCTAATTTGAAAAATAAACGAAATATGAGCATTTTTTGAAATCACGAAAATTTGACTTTTTGGCTATAACTTAAAAACAAAAGAAGATAGAGGTTTGATGTTTGCGGGATTGAATTAGTCTCGAAAAAAGAGACCGGGACATGGCACCTACTTTTTTCGTATCTCTTATAGTTTCTGAGATAGCCTATAATAACACCCAAATTTGCCCACCCTGTACACTGTTAATTAATAAAAATGTTATATGAACGCTAGTAGTTCGCTTTGTTAAACCAGTTGAACAAAAGATACGAACAGCAATTAAAAAATAAATAGCCTTTTTTGACTCTGAATAGCTTGATTAATCTCCCGGTCAAGGGGTTTAAAAGATAATTTATCCTTACGCGTTATTCCTGAATCCCTAAAGTATTAAAATTCCTTCGAAGAAGTTGTGTTAAGGAACCTTTACCGGATCATCAGTTACCAGACTAGCTATTTAATAAAATAGGCTGAATATGGAAGAGAAAATTATTTAATTACAGTAGATTATCTGTCCAAATGGATAGACATAATACTAGTAAGTTAAATAGTAAAAC